GGGTTCGGGAATCTGTGCAATTAGGTGAAACAGACTCGGATTCGAAAATATGTGCAAAAAGGTGAAAAAGACAGCTTGATCCCATGATTAGATTTTCGCCGAAAAGGACAGAAATGACCAAATGTTCTATTCGGGGGATGCGGCGATAGGAGCATAGGAGCAGTAGATTCAAACCCTAGTAGACCAGATCTCCCCCCAAGCGACCCCGAAATCAGGATGGGAGGAGTGCAAGGCATGACACCGACGAGTTTGGACCTGCATGATGTGCCAAACACGGGGAGGGAGTCTGGTACCATCCAGCAGTATGGAGTTGTACCGCCTTCCGTCGAACACAATGTACCCCTACTCATGACTGTATCGGACCGGAAAGACAGCTTGTCTACATTCATCATGATAAGGGTGTACCTTGTATCCCGGTGAAGAAGGTTATAAGGTACAACGACAAATCTCTTAGTCATGGGTATGTCGCCAGAGCCTCAGCTTGTGAGCACTCCCTGCCCATGGGTATCCCCCTCCCCCCGGAGCCTCATTCAGCAATGATATATGGCACCGAAATTATCATGTTTTTTTTTATGTGAAAAACAAAAAAAAAAAAAATAATGTGAAGCAGATCCCACTTGCCATGATGTCTCTTGCGTTGCGGTTTTGCAAGGAAAATAAGCAACAGCGAGATGACAATCCCAGATTACACCATCACATTGCAAGTCAAATAGTCACACCGTGTCCAGATAGCAGCATTGCACCAATAATACACCAATGGAGTTTCGTAGCACTGAAAACCAATGTTWATGGAGACCACACTCTCTCCTCTTCAACACAAGAATCCAGTTCCCTTACACTCASACTTGGTGCTCAGCGCCCAGCCTACTTCTACACAGCTACTACAGACTACAAAAAGACAATGCAACTGTTGACATCAGCAGCAGCCCGAAGTACTTGAAGATGCAGCCCATGCAGACCATCGCCAATACAAGGTACGTGCCCTCACATCATCATCATCATCATCATCATCCTTTACCTATCCCCTGACTTCACCCCCACCTGTCCTCTCTGACACCCGAAGAACCACCCCTGCGCCTCACTCTGTCCAAGCCAAGCCCGCTATGGAGGCTGGCTATGGCGCTCCCCTCAGCAGCGCCCTGTTCCCCTACACGACCGCACATGCGTTGCCCCTTGCTCCTCTGCCGGCAGTCAGCCTGCGAGCTTTTGCTCCAGCAGCGCTGCCGCCCAACCAGCAAGTGACYGAATGAGCTGCCTGGCCAGAGCTCTTYCCTTTATGGAAAAGAGCTGGCCAGCTCTCGCAGCCTGGCTGGGCTGGCCTGGGCCCAGCAGCTTCCGGAAGGCCCCAGGATGCTGTCTGGATGCAGCAGCTACTGGGCTGCTGGGCCTCGTTCGGTTGGGCGCCCAACTGTCTCTGTATGAGGCTGCGAATCACGCCCAGGGCCTGCATTCTTTGGAAAGGCCCGGTAGGCCGTGGAAATGTCTTCGGTACTCGGCCTGTGTTTCTTTCAACCAACTGGCGCGCCAGGCCCGCCTTCACTTAGGGCGGGCACCTCCACCTTCACTTAGGGCGGGTAAGGCTGCAGATAGGGCCCCGTAGGCCTACCGAGGACACTGATCCTCGCAGTTTCTATTCTAGAAACACTGAAAAAAAAAGGGCATTCAACATGATGATGAACACGACCTCAATCACTTCCATAAGCTTCTGACTAAGGTCCTTAATCCTCACCGAAGTACCGGACCCACCCCAGGCACCTGCTTTCCCAAGTCCCCAAGCCACCCCGATCCCCGCAGCCTTCTTCGCACCAGCACCAGCACCCTTTGTCTTTTCTTGCGTACCCGAATAAAACGCCTGGTCATTATCGCTGCATCTGGACCCAAAGTTATGCCAAATACGGCTATAATGACTGGCCGTTCTATTCGGGCGATCATCTACTTCAAGAAGCCTTCGGAACACTCTGCGATCTTTCACCGTATGGATTTCCGGATATTGCGACAACTTCCCGCATGGGTCTTTTGTCGGAGACACCCTACCCCCAGGGTCGACAAAGAAAAGAATCAAGCATAAGTACTTCCCTGAGAATCAAACTTAGCTTAGTTTTCGCGGTGAGAAATACCGAGACAACGGGGTTTTCTACGACTTATTATACCATACATATCATTGGTAATAGAAGTAACGTAGCATCGGAAATACAGGCAAGTTCAAAGGGGCCCAGCAGACACAAGGCCGGGTATAAGCAAGGCTCTATCTAGAAAGGCAAGCTTATCTGACAGCTGACCCCGCTGAGAGGAGCAGACAAAATCGGGTAGAATCAGGTCCGGATTAGAAGCAATGGGGTCTAAGGGAAGCACAATGGAGGCACATTAAATCAATTCTTTGAACCCATTGTGAGGGGGGGTACATCCTTCCTTTCGGGGTCAAAGGGCCAAGCAAAGGGGTCGAAGGGCCAAGCACAATGGAGGCATATTACATCAATTACAAGCTAACTCAGACAGGGGTGATGGGGAGGTACAACCTTCCTTTCGGAATTAATCAATGCCACCCCCTCGGGTCTCCCAACCCGAATGGGGAGAAGCGTACAGGTGGAGGGGGGGGGGGAGGGAGTCCTTAAAATGATGTAATTATTTGACTTGCCGGTGGAAAAGGAAAATGATGTAAGTATTCCACTTCCCAAAATGNCATTCCCTCCTCCTTAACTTCATGAGTCCTCTGAGAAGTCTCTTATTCTGCAGGCATCTTCCCTTTTCGTTCTCTTTCATAGCCTGCAATCACTTGAGGCGCTGTTCTCACGAGTTCTTCCCGTGTAAACCAGCGATCTTCCTTGGGATCGAGGTGATGTCTGAAGCTCACCCGGTACTGCATTCTCGGTTTAGGAGGTCGCCCTCTGCCTGATGGTCGAGGAACAGGCACCATTCGATGCTCGACGATCTGGTCAATGTCCACTTCGCCATCCATGGTTGGGGGCAGCATTGATCTTCGAGAGGGGAATTGGTCTGTGGCAGAAAAAGGTGCCAGCTTTGACGCATGGAAAACAGGATAAGTCCGTAAGTGAGCAGGGATGCGAATCACGTATGAAGGCCCATCCGGTTGATCCCCTACAATATCTAAGATCTCCCAGGGCCCAAAGTACTGAGGCATCAGTTTTCTTGAGATCCCTATTTCTTGTCCCAGTTCAGATGATTTCACCCAGACTCTCTCACCTACCTGAAAGTTAGAAGGCCGTCTATGTTTGTTCTTGAGATCCCTATTTCAGTTAAGATCCCCTACAATCATCGCATCTTGAGACTTCTGCATATGTTCAACGGCCTGCTGCAGCATCTGCTCATATTTGACACCAAACTCTATGCTGCCAGGTGCTGCAGTAGGTTGTCTTTCTGGTAACAGAAAATCAAGCGCAGATCTGGGCTTCCAACCAAGATGTAGCTGGTTGGGAGTCATACCGGTGGTGTTGTGCACAGCATTGTTGTACAGGCTGGCGACGAGAGGTAACTTCTCGTCCCAATCATCCTGGCTTGGCTTAATATAATGCCTAAGCAGGTGCTGCACTACCCGGTTCATCTGTTCTGCTTGGCCATTAGACTCAGGGTGATTCCCTGACGTCATCTGGAGCTTTGTGCCCATTTGCTCGGCAGTTGACTGTCATAGTTCACTTGTGAACCTGACATCCCTATCACTAACAATAGACGTAGGCAAACCGAAATCACGAACCCAATTGTCCATAAACAATTTGATGACATGGTCAGTTTTAGCTGTTTCTGGCATAGCGATTAGTCTTGCATACTTAGTAAAACGGTCCACTATTACGAAGATGTGTCTCTTTCCAGACTTACTGGTCACAAGGGTATCCATGAAGTCCATGGACACACTTTGACCAGGACCTCCAGGAATCGGCAAGGGCTTGATGAGCCCAAGCGGAGCCTCAGTCCTTGGTTTGTCTCTTTGGCAAACCTGGCAGGTTTCAACATAACGTTTTGCATCTTCTATCATAGAGGGCCACCAGAATCTCTGAACTAAGTTTGTTGTTGTCTTTTATAGCCAAAATGACCAGTTGCATCGTGACATTCTCCTAAAAATAAACTACGCAACGACTCACTACTGGGGACACACAATCTTTTATTCCCCGCCTTATCAAGGAACAGCAAGTCGTCTACCATCGTAAATTCGTCGAAAGTTTTTTTATCCTTTGCCTTGAACCTACGAAAGATCTCTGACATGACTAGGTCTCCCTGATAAGCTTCCACCAACGATCGAGTGAGGTCATTAGATATGCCAAACTCAGTTACTAGTGCGCCCAGATAATCTGCCCTTCTTGATAGCGCATCAACCACTTTGTTGTACGTACCCTTGATAGGATCAGTTGATAGTCATACATGTCTATCACTTAAATCCATCTCTTGAGTGCGTCCGACAAGACCGGTTGTGTCTTGATCCAGCGCAAAGTCTCATGGTCAGATCTCACGTAGAAGAACCTTCATAGGAGGTAATGTCTTTAATGAACTAGCGCTCGGTACAGGGCGTAAAGCTCTCTTTCACAAGTGGACTTAGCCAACTTCTGTGATGGCATCTTCTTGCTCCTATACTCGATCGGTCTCAACTTGGGCCCTTCCTGTTGCGCAAGGACCGCACCTATGCCATATTTGCTAGCGTGTGTGGTCACAACAAACAGCTTGTCAAGATCAAGAAGTTTGGGAACTTCGTAGTGTGTCAGAGCATACTTCAATTTCTTGAAGCTTGCTTCACACTCCTCAGTCCACTCCCAAAGGGTGTCAAGTCGAGTTAGATCTGTCAATGGGGAAGCTATAGTACTATAGTTTTTCACAAACGGACGATAGTAGCCCGTCATCCCCAAAAACGATCTGACCTCAATAACAGTTTGAGGGCTGGGCCAGTCACGTATGCTGGCCACTTTCGCATCTTCTGGCCTCAATCCATCTGCTGAAATTTCATGACCCAAGTACAAGAGCTTGGTGCAACCAAACTCGCATTTATCCAATTTTACCTTGTACTGGTGTTGTCTTAGGAGACCTAGCACTATTTTCAAGTGCTCAGCGTGCTCCTCTACAGTCCTACTGAAGATGAGAATATCGTCGAGGTACACGACGATAAACTTGTCCAAGTAGTCATGAAAGATCCTATTCATCGTGTGCTGAAACGTACCAGGCGCATTGCAGAGGCCAAAAGGCATCACCACAAACTCGTACAGACCATACCTGGTCTGAAATGCGGATTTGTGTTGGTCCTCTGGCCTAACGGCAATTTGATGGTATCCGGACTTCAGATCTATCTTTGTGAAGTACCGACATCCCTGCACTCTATCCAAGAGGTCGTCAATGCGGGGCAGGGGCTCCGCGTTCTTAACAGTGATGGCATTGAGGCCCCTATAGTCAATGCACATCCTTAATGGACCTCTCTTCTTAGGAACAAATAAGCACCGTAAGGGGAGGTACTAGGCCGTATCCATCCCTTCTCTGTGAGCTCCTTGAGCTGGCGGCGAAGCTCATCTAACTCCGCAGGAGACATCCTATAGATTCGTCCTCTAGGCACCTTACTACCTGGGATCACCTCTGTTGCATGGACAATCTCCCCTTCCACCATTTCTGTGGGCTCCTCAAAAAGGTCTAAATATTGAGCGACGACTTGTTCTATCTCTGGGGGTGATTTAACGGCCTCCCCCTTTTCAGAGACAAACACTAGGTACATGCCCTCCTCGCGATTCTGCTTGTAGTAGTTATAGAAAGACGAAGCGCACATGCAGCTGTAGTTCTCCACTAGACTGCGAGCCTTGTACTTTTGCAGCCTAACGGTCCTACCATTTGGCAACTTGTGTATCAACACCTTTCTATCCCAATCAAATTGTGGTTGCGAGACTTCGAGGTAGTACATGCCCAGTAACATGTCGAATGGCAGTTCGTCGCTAACCAAGAAGGAGATCTTGTGGATCACTTCCCCTCCTCCATAGGAGAAGGAACAGGCTGCGTCCTTGACATAGTCTTTTACTACCATCTTGTGCTTGTTGGCTAGCGTAGAAGCTACAGTTCTGCTAAGCCGCTACACTTGGTCCCCTAAGCACAGTCTATCCACACAAGCACGACTGATGAAATTTCGTGTAGAGCCTGTGTCTGCGAAGGCGCCAATCTTGCGGCCACCTACATCTACTTCTACCACGAAATGTTCACCCTTTGGACCTCCACTCATCATCGCCCAAGAGTCCCTGGGGTCCTTCCCTGACCACTCAGTCTCTAACTCTTCTAGGGCCTCAGACACATCTYTCGAACAGAGCGTCRGTGGKTCYGWATGTGTCTGCGGGGCAATACGTGGGTCACTAGCCTTGGCCAACGCCTGAAGTGGGGAAGGCAACGTTACCACTTCAGCGCGAGTAAGAGCGGCTAACACTCCTAGTGGCCCGAGGTGTTTCCCTGTGAGCTGCTCGCAGAAGCACTCACAGGGTTCGAAGATAAGCCCACCACCGTTGGTGAAGCTACCTTCGTTGTGACCTTTTTGCCGCGACAAGTCCTGGACATGTGGCCAAAGTTGCCACAGTTCATGCATGTACCCCTAGCAACGCGGTCACGCCACACCTCGTATTCTAAACCAATTTTCACCCATGCGAGTGTTCCTTGGTCGCCCTGACACGTGGACCGTACTACCTTCTTCTTCCCGGTCCCCCTAGCCTTTTCCTTGATGGGTGCCACGACTCCACCATCTGAAGTCTTACCACCCCCATCGTGCTCTATGAACTCCCCAAGATCTGAGTAGTCGTCAATCTCCGTCGTTTGACCATCGTGGTCAACGAACATTAACTGACCCTTTTTCTTCCAGTCTTGGGGCAGTCTCTTCCTACCATCATTGGATGCCTTATGCACAGATCCTAGCTTTGCCTCTATGTCCAGTGCTTTCTTACTAAAAGAAGCAAAAGTGTGCTGGTCAATATAGGCCTCGTCAACCAGCTTGGTCCTTACCTTTGTAGGTAGGCACCTTAGGTAGTCCGTTAGGAGAACCTGCGGGTCAAAACGCACACCAGGTACCACGAGGAGGCGTTCTACGGTGTCTGTAAGCTCTCTAACATCCTTGAATCTACGGGAACAAAGGTTGTTGATAGCATCGATGGCCTTTTGAGCCCCTTGCGGGTCATTCCACCTGTTGTAGACGGACCGTACGAACTGTTCCAATGTCTGAGACTGAGCCCAGGCATCGAAATCCTG